TTCTGAGTTTCTTCTTAATGTTTTCTTCATTTCCTGGACTTAAAACATTTTTGTAACCATCGCTGCATAATTTCTCCAAGGTCATCTCTGTTGCTCTGCACACCTTCAGGGTAGGCTGGGTGAGGAAACAGATTCCACAAGGATTACTGGAACTCTATTGTTGCAGAATCTTGAAAGCTGGATAGAGTTTCTCTCTCCCTGCTCTTACATCAAAGAGAATCAAGGCAGAAAAATCTTCAGTTTCTTTCTTACCGCTTCTTCACTTTATAACTCCCTTATATTCCTTCTTCAAGATTATTTCTGTATTTTTCTTCACAAGGTACCAAACCAAAGTGCTGGTTTTATGAGTCAAAACCAGTCTTTGAATTGCACCTAGAAACCAGCATCACAGGTCTAACTTACTTATTTTAACATATTTATATAGTAATGTGCTTCTGGTAAGTAATATCTGCCTGTAAATGGGCTGCTTCTGTCCCAGTTGCAGCTTCCCAGTGGCTCACAGTCTATGGTAGCCACATTATATCTGCAATCCTTTTAATTGGAAATTCTGGGTTTTAGATAATCATTGCTTCATATCCTCTCCTTAAAATGCTTTTCTGGGTATGGAGTTAATTTTATTTTAAGATTAAGAAATAAAGAATGAAGAATTTATTCATTTTTGAGAATAAAAAATTAAGGGAAAAGCACTAAGTACTGAAGAATGTTTTTGAGAAAAACAAATGCTTCCTTGTTAAGCTGAAGTTCACAGGCAGAAACATTATTTCCTCATCTGTCATTTAGATTTATGTATCAGGAAGATGATGGCTGGGTGACAGGAGAAGATGCAATAAATTCTTAAGAGAACAAATGGTAATTAAGATTGATAGGAATGATCCATTTGTATAGTGCTGATGCATCTGGTCTGCATTAAATAATCCACACAACCACAAGATGGAATCTTGTGCTAATTGGTGTCCAGATTTTTTTCATTCCTGATAGGATATTGCTAAATTTTTAACATTTGCAAAATTGATGACTTAATTCAGACAGAGAAGTAACCTGGGATTTAGGGACAGGTAAAACATCAAATATGATCACTAGCCAAAAGCTGGAAGCTAGAAAACACGGGGCCCAACAAGGCCAGAAGATCCCTGCTGACCAGTCGTTCGTTAATGGTGAAGTACTGGTCCACAGCTTTTTTATTTTATGCACTGGATCTAAGTGCATTTTTAGTTTTTGAGTGCTGTGTTTTTAAGATGTCTTCAGAAAGCGGAAATACTAAAATAAATGGAACTGCGAGCAACCCGCGCCGTTTGAGCCGGGAATGATAAAGCCGTTCCTTAAAAGCAGGGCCTCCCTTCCTTCTCTCCCTCCTCCCGCATTGACTGGCTGATTCCCACCGCCGAGCGAGGTTCTCTCGAAGGAACCTGTAATCGGACATCTTTTTGTTCGGCAAAGCAGAAGGCAAAGGAATTCTGCGCCTTTAAAAGGCTCCTGTTAGGTTGCGGGACGAGGAGTGACAAAGGCGGCGGCAGCGGCGGTAGTGAACGAGATGCAAGGGGAGATACTGCTGCGGGGAAGACGAGGCTTACCGTGGGGCTGAGCTAAGCCCGACAGAAGGAGGGCAACAAGCGCCCCCCCGAGGTAGAAAGCCGAGCGGCCCGGGCAACTCGACGCCGCCATACTCGTTGCCTCCCTTCCTCGCTTGGGCGCTCGAAGGCGGACGGGAGCTCCGCTCTGCCTGGCCGCCCTCGAGGAGGAGGAGGCAGCTTCCTGCTTCCCCTCCCCCCTCTCTCCGCGATATTTGGGGATGAAACAGCGGCGGATAGTCGGTCCAGTCGCCTCGGACGAGCTGGTCTCGACCATTGGAGAGAGTTAGCAAAGGCCGTGGAAACGGGGGTCGAGGAAGTGTAATGGCGAGGTTTAGTTAATCCTTTCTTTCAGTCACGCTGCTCTGAGCTTTGTTTGTCGTTCCTCACTCGCTTTTAATGCTTCTACTACTTCTGATGTCCGTTTTAAATCATTGCGGGAACACAGTCTACAGTGGTGCTTCTCAACCTTGACAACTTTAAGTTGCAAGGACTTCAATTCCCAGGATTCCCCAGTCAGCAGCTGGCTGGGGAATTCTGGGAGCTTAAGTCCTTGCAACTTAAAGTGGCTGAGGTTGAGAAACACTGCTGTAGAGAGAGTACATTTCCAAATACACACAATCTTAATTACACATTTTAATCCGACACTTATAAACTCACAATGTATAGTACTGTTAACGGTGATCAACATTTATCAAATTCATTTACTTGTCTATTACACTTTTGTCATGGTGACATCCCACAGCGTGTAGGTGGACTGAGGACCACTTTTGCTACACGGTTGTAGCAGTTTGATTACTGTCATTGGAACAAGACAAATGATAATGCTTAAATTTAGGGTTCCTATAATCACAGCATTATCGTTACTCCTAATTCAGTTTGGACCATAGTGTTCTTTCCATCCATATTTTAGGTTGGGGTAAGAGTTCCGCCTACCCTGAAATTATGACCTCTGCATTTTAAATAGTGGTTGACACAAATAGATCGTTTTCTTGATAGCTGTCACTATCTTGATCTTAATTGGCAAAATGTGCGCAGTACATATGTACTATTTTGGTGCAAGCAAATAGAAAAACAGCATAATACAATACACAGGTATTTCAGTTAATCCATTTTAGTAGCAACAATGTGTCTTAAGAGGTATATCCAAGGCACGTATCTTCTTTTACATTATACCTTTGCTTTTCTGGATTTCCTTTTAGATTGCACAACTGTAAAGAAGATACATTATCATTCTTTTTTTTTCTGTTAAAGTTAAAATAAAGAAGCCTGCTGTATCCTATCTGTGTGTGATGCTAGGATGTACTCAAGACTTTTCTTTTGTATTTTTTCTTAGATTTTTTTATCCAGCCTTTTTTATTTTTGATATTCTTTTGAAGAACTCTCCCCATCACAATACTGATATTTCTCTTTTTCCTAATAATGAAAGAAGCAATTAGTAGCAATAAAAGTGTAATAATGAGCTCACCTAAAGGAGATTAATATATAAAAGGAATGTCTCTAGGGAGCAAATATTTGTGAGAAGTTATAAATTGCTTCATGTACCACTGTCATACAAGCATTCAGGAATAATTTTTTCATGAACTTTCTTTTGCAATTATATTGCTTGCTTCTGTATATATCCAGGAAAATATAGACAGAGGCATGGCTCAGTGCAAAAATGGAGTAAAAATAAAACTTTACAACATATTGGGTATTATGGGGAGGGAATGGTGGAAGGGTAAGGGGAGCAAAGAACTAAGGAACTGAGATCTGCATTTTTATTATGCATTTTTATGTCTAAACAATCCACATTAAGATTTAAAAAATCAATGAAAGGAGACAAAACATGGTCTGATGAGTAAAAGATACTGATATTTGGGTGCTCTGAGGAGCTATGGTAATAAAATGTTCATTTTGTCCATTCAAAGATCTAACTAGAAACAGGTCAATGTCCTGAAATTATCAGAGTTGTATTGAAACTACAGAATAAAACACACAAAAATCTCACTTTGTAGTAAAGATCAACCAACCATATTTTTGCTTTCCAAATTTTCTTGTCATGAAGTAAATAGAAAGACATCTTTGCTCTGTTCACTTCAGTGCAGAAAGATTATTTTGATCTGAGAGCCTAAAGCAACAGGGGTATGTGACTCTACACTGTTTTATCTCTATGTGCAAAGGACGGGCCACTCATGTGGCTCAAAGCAGAGAATACTGGGATCGTATTATGCCGATGTTGGTAATAGTATGTAAGCTGTAAAAATAGGAAACAGGTAAGCATAGTACAGTAGGACAAATTTACTGATAGTAGTTTCTTTTATTCTGCTTAGACTTGCTAGGATGTTGCAAACCAGAAAGATCTTTTTTAAAATGTTTTATTCATCGCTAGTTCTGCCTTTGTTTTTCCAAATTCTGTTTGCTCCTTTAAGATCTATGAATTAACTTGTGCATTTGGGTAGAAATACATCCCATTACATTCTCTAATATCTTAGTTGGATTTGTATTAAATAATTTCCAAGAAGATGGGTTTCCTGTAAACAGAAGTTGTGAAAACACAATTCCTTAAGAAATCGATTTTTTTTTAAAGTGAATTAGAAATGACAAGAATGTGTTCTGCATAAATTCATGTCTCTTTTGTTTTCATTATATGCTTAAATTTGCAAATCTTTAAAATTTATTTGGAGGCAAGCCCTAATGGACTTGCCAGCTGGACTTATTTCTCAGTAGTCATGTATACTATTGACAGTAAATATTTCCTACTGAAATCATTAAAACCAGCAGGACTTAAAATATTGAATTTGCCTGGATAGTACCAATGATGAAAACATTCATTGATGATTTCTAGCAGAGATCCATAGAATTTGATATCCAAACAAACATTGTTGTTAATCAGAATACCATAAGATATTCACAAAATAATACAGTAAAACGAGTATGTAATTTAGAAGAGTAGTAGCAAGTCAGTGACAATCTTCTGCTTTCCTTCCTACCTCCACAAGGGGTGTGCAAGTTTATTCCTTTACTGTAATGCATCTCATCATGTTCTCCAGAAGGCAATGGAATATTTTGCTTCAGCAAATATAATTTGAAATTACTTAGTATTTTTTAAATTAAAGTATTATTTGGATTTAATACCAGTCAGTGCAGCAGCTGGATATGTTTGAGCAATTTGGATCACTGCATGTTTTTTCTCCCATATGTATAGAATTGTTTCAGTGGATCATGATTTATGAAGGTAAATCTATCACATTAACAGAATTACTCATTTTCCAGGTGTTGTGTATTTCATGTTTGTTTGTTTATTTATTTAGAGACCACAGTGTTGCTATGCACAAAACTAAAATCTTGACAGTATAAAAATCATTCTGAAATATCTAGCTTGGCCATCCCCTCTTTTGCTGGTTTGTTATATTCAGTTAATAATTTGTTACTCTTTACTTTTCAGAAATTATGAAAGATGATAGTTACAACATGGACGAAAAAGGCTTATTTAAAAACTGATGTTACACAAAAGCTGATCCTTTTAGCCTTGCTTTTCCTTTTAGCTATGCTAATTGTGATCTTGTTCCTCTATCAATACCTCGGCAATGTATATTTTTCCTATGGAGAATCCAGTGTTGAACAAAATTTCTGTCCACATGGCTACTTCAAATTAAGAACTATGAAGAATTGCTCACCGTGGTTGTCTTGCAAGCTTATAAAAAGAGAAGTCCATAAACTGAAACCTGTTGGTGAAGGAGCTGTAAAAAGGGTTAGTTTAACATAATGGATCTCAAAAATAATAAAAAATATTATTCTGTACTTTCACAAGTCACCCTTTATGATAACTCCAATCTACAGAGAGATGCATAGGCATCCTCAGGATCCACCACTGTCATCAAAATGATGAAAGTGATACTACACTGTTTTGTATAGGCAAGCAGTGCACAATACATTAACAAAAGGGGTGGAGTTTCTGTCACAGCACATTACTTTTGTCACTTCCCCCTACCCCCATGAAGATGCTGCTGAAGAAATGGATGTTCTTAATGTTTCTTTTGGAAAAAGTTCTAAGTAACATGCTGTATATATTTCTGCTTCACTCTACACCTGAAATCTGGTGAAATATTTTTGTAAGTAAATGCTGATGATTCCAGATGAAATTGAAAGATGTCTAGAAAGAAATACACATTTATTCATGTTTTACAAGTGCTTATAATAATACAGTAAGGTTATTTACATTTATTGAAGCATTTCTTTCTAGACAATAAAATGTCAAAACTTCACATTCTCAAGGAGATATGGCATAAACATGGTCTTTACTAAAGTTTTCTTGTATTTGCATCCAATTGGCAGTGATTACTAATGTAATGAAAAATGAATTCTCCTCTCTTAAGGTCAGAATTGGGCCTGCCAAATGGTGCTGTTGCCCCACAGATTAGAAAACAATTGAATTTTAATTCCTAGCTACTCCTTTCATCTTCTCTTTCCACTTAATTGGGAAAAGAAGAGCTCAGGGGAATTGGCTTTAGTAGACATTGAGCAGGATTGAGCTGAGCTGAGCTTTAGGCAAAACCCATCCATTTCAGAAATACAGAAAAATATTCTAAGCTTATATTCTGAAGGCCATTGGAAGTTTATGTAAATAAGGGTAAGCACTATACTTTAATATACTGTATACCAATCTCTGTAGAATAAAATCTGGGAATATATGTAGGTATAACTACTGTAATAAAAATATTTTTGGTTCATTTTTGGAAAGTTCTCCACATCAGCTTACCATGATTATAGTATTGGATTTGGCCCACCTTTATAAGTGATGCAAGGATTACTTAAATGCTGCTGATTGGCTTTTTATTATGCATTCTCTGTTTTGAAATAGTGAAATATAGTGACCTTTGTTATAATTGGATGTTTATTAAGTGTGTGGATCCCCTCAATTCATAAAATGAATAGCATGATTAAATAATAGTGAACATTAGTGGCTGTATACGTGATATTCATTTGTGTGTGTGTATTCCTCTTTATTTCCTCTTTTTAGGTCTTCCTTTCTGAGTGGAAAGAAAACAAAGTAGCACTTTCCCAGCTAACTGTGCCAGAGCTGCAAGAAGACTTTATTCATGGGCTTCAGATGCTGAAAAAGTTACAAAGCAAGCATGTGGTCAAACTCCTTGGATATTGTGAAGAGGAGTTCGTGATTCTTACGGAGTATCACCCATTTGGATCCTTGAAGAATATGAATGAGATACTGAACCTTCCAAAATATAAAAATTATAATACGTGGTATAACAGGTTCCTGCTTGCCATAGGCTATGTGAGCATTATCCATTTTTTACACAACAACCCCCTTGGCACTTTTGTTATGTGTGACTCCAGTGATTTGAATAAAACACTTTCACAATACTTGTTGACCAGCAGCTTTCATGTGGTTGTGAATGACTTGGATGCCTTGCCCCTTCTGAACAGGAGTACTGGTGAATTGATCAAGTGTGGCCATCAGGAACTGGAGGGTGAATTTGTTGCTCCTGAGCAGCTTTGGCCATATGGAAAAGAAGTACCTTTTGAAGACCATCTTATGCCTCCCTATAATGAAATGATAGACATATGGAAAATCCCTGATGTTTCTAACTTTCTTTTGGGAGATGTTGATGGGAGTGATCTTGTCAGATTTCACTTATTCAGCATCCATGCAGCATGCAAAAGGAATGCATCTGAAAGACCTTCTGCTCAGATGGTACTGGACACATACAAGAATGTGCTTGCCTCACTTGTGAAAGAAGCAACCACACCCAACACAAGGGACATGTTATAAAAAGATTAATGGAATGCTTTGATAGCATAACTAATATTGGGTAAATTCAGTGTCCATTGTTGTTTGATTTTTCCCAATCTGAAAAGTAGCGGAGGTGGTTAAAATATAAGCATAAGTAGGGAAATTCTCAAATAACTTCAAATGTCTGTGAGAGCTTATATAGAAAATGAAACAAAAGTGTGTGCTTGAAAATGCAAATTCCTAATTGTTTTCATATTTAAAATTTAAAATAAAAATTCTTGAACTGGTCCACTAAAGATCAATCATTTGATAGAGGCAATCCCAGTGGTTCTTTAATTTATAATGGCTGATTGTGCATTTCTTGTCTCTTGCTTTTTTTTTAACCATGTCCCCCATTAACCTTCATCTCTGTCCTAGCAGAGTTGCTCCTTGAGTTCTAATTCCATCAGAATGTTAATGTGGTCTGGAATAAGTTGTGCTAGGATCTGTTTCATGTTATCAGTACATGTAGAGTGAACAGTTTAGTATGTAGTTATAACAGGTGCAGGAATGTTATGGTTTCAGATATAACTATTGTGGCCTAAGGAAGCATTGGTGCTCAGTTAAGGTAGTTCAAATGGTATGAAACAAACCAGTATACAAATTCCATGTTTCCCTGTAACATTAACATAAGCATGTGTATTTCCATAGGAATACCAATGTGAGAGGATTTTAATCTTTTGGCAAATGCACTGTCTCCTATCTCTAATGATATAAACCACTCCAAAAATGCTGTGAAACTCAAAATGAACTTAAGTGGGAGAAAACAGTGCTGATTGAAGCCATTTTTCAGGTGTAAGAGTGGGTAAACATTTTCCCAAAAGATTAATGTATTCAGCAGGAAGTCATGTTTCCCATCAACACTACTTCATATATTACCTAAACGGTAGTGTAAATCTGTGTACCGAACTGTGATAATGTACCATTAAGAGAATATTATTTACAGTATACTTGTTATTCTTACAGTTAGCCCTTGCACATTATACATTTTGCACGTTTTCCATATTGTATTTATAGAGAGAAATGCCTTTAAAATATTTACATGTGGCAGGGATGGGCAGAAGGTTAATCTGGATCTACTGGTAGAATTTCTAGCTCCTAATAATTTAACAATAGCATTCTCCCTAAATTACTGGATACATTAAGAATGTATACATAGCCAGGAATAACTTTTCTTGTGGAAGAACTATGAGATCAGCTCAGATTTGGTATTCAAAATAAATTCCAGACATCTACCTTCCTTAACTCTAAGTATATGTCTTTTGGAACAGGCTTCAGATAAACTCAGTTCTTGTATCTAAGCTTATCCTGATTAGCAGTACTTTTTAATTAATCTTAGAAAAGAGCAAGGGCAATAAAAAAAAAGTTGTGTTAGGTCCTTGAGAAAATATCCAGCTAAAATACATAAAAGAGTTTTAGTGTCTGCCTTACTGTATCCTATATGTTTCAAGAGGATAGCACAAATATTGAATTTGAGGTAGTTCTGAAAATATACTTTCAGGCCCAGAAAAGTTTTAGTGAATCTTACCATAAATGATCTGATGCCCAAAACAAAGATCAATCTAGTCCAGATTTTCACAACCTGCTAATTGGAGATAGTAATACTGTACTTGCCTTCCCAACATATCTGGAAGCTCTAGGAAACAGTTTGTTACTGTAGGTGGCCAGATGTTTATGACAAGTTTTTAAACAGGGCATCAGAATAGCAGCCCCTTATTTTGCTCCCAAGCAACTAGTAATCAAAGCAATGTTACTTTTAAATCAGAATGTTCCATCTAACTTTCTTGGTTAATAACCTTATCATCCTTTAATTTGTCTAATTCCACATTATAGCTAGAGACTATTTCCACATGTTGTGTGATCAAATTCAGTGAGTTAAAAACACATGAATGACTTATTTTGTATGGCAAAATCCCATGAATAGTAAAGTCTAAATGAAAATTAATCAAAGTTTTACTTCTAAAATTCTCTAAAGCAAATCTTCTGAGCAAATCTTTTTATAAGAACAGCTTATAAATATTTAAGAAACATTCATCTAAAATTTTAAATTAAAAGCAGATAATATTTAATAAGTTGAGCAAGCAATTAAAATAAATAAAGAGCCAGCGTGGGTAGAGGTTAAAGTGTTAGATTAAGTTTGGAGAAACCCAGGTTTTAGTCCACCCTCAGTCAAGCAAGCCCACTGGAGGACTCTGGGCCAGTCACTCTCATCTAACTTGCCTCACAGAGTAGTTGTTGTGGGAAAAAAATAGATCTAAATTAACAGCTGTTAAAGTTTTAAAGAAATAAAATTAATTTAAAACTTTATCTAGGCCTGAGAGAATAGAACATCTTTGCCCAGGACTAGTCAAAATAGATACATAAAGGAGCAATCACAAAATTTGGATTACAGTAACACCTGACCTACAGTCTCACTTGGATTTGGTGGAAAAGACTGTAGGTCAGGTGTTACTGTAGTCCAAATTACAGTGCATATTGATGGCAATGTACTCTGAATCTCCAAAATGACTTCAGTGATTTGATATAGATGGTACAAGCATGAATCTGAGCAGAAATGTTCCAGCACCACTTTCTAGAGATGACCATCTTCATATGAGTGGAACTAATCACTTGGCCCATACCCAATTCAGAGAATCTCTACAGTAGGATGTCATGTCAATGTAATAAAAATGGCTGAGAAATCCACAAGCCTGTGCTCCCCTGGTCTGCCCTACTAAAGATAATGCTACAGAGCAGCCAAAGCAGTTTTAGTGCCAAAACCAGGCCTATAATCCAGTTGGAATGAATAGAGAAAATTTATTTCAGCCAGGCATGTTTGGATTTCATCAGACAAACCTCAATTAACTACGTTGCCCAAAAAAAGAATATTAGCCAACAGGTCTCCTGATTCAACAATATTTCTTTCAATAATTTCACTATTGCTTCTTACTGAAACTGAGACTGCTCCCTTTCCTAAAAAGAAATGTATGGACCTCTGGAACCAGTTGGTCATTGTCTCCCTATTTGCCATATGAGCCACAACGGGGAAGGTTTGATCAGATGGTTGCTTGACTGACTTCTATCAAGCATCTTATCAATTGTCCTTATGTTCTAACAACTAAAAGTCATTTTTAAAAGTCTGACCAAACCAGACCAGACTAGATTTCTTAAACTGGAATCTAACAAATGGTCATTATGATAAATTTTTGTACTCAAAGGCTAAACCCTTAATCTGAATTAATAAAGCACAATTCTGTGTACACATAATATGCTATCTCTGAACAAATTATGTGTCAGGCTCTCCTGACCATGACCTGGCAGTAAATTTCAGTCTCTCAACTATACATTGCTTAACTTGGCTGCTAAGCTCAGACTTGGCTGAAATCTCTCAGTCATACCACACCACACCACGCAGCTAGATAAAATTTACTACAAAATAAAATGAAGGTACAATGAACAGTAATTGCTCTTTGTTGGTACAAGAATACAATTTCCTCTAAACCTATGGCATTTTAAATCTTTTGCTTCCTTGTATATTTTCTGCATTTCAACATACTCTGCCTTGCACTCATGGCTTTGAAGTTGAGCAGTAGTTGGTTCTTGACAGTTCTGCACTAAGAACAGCCAATTCACACCACCTTCCCTCTCTATTTTCTACTTCCTCCCCTTCTGTGTAGCTAGATGAACCAATATCAGGAAGTTCTGCTGAAGCTGATGAGACTCCACACCTTCAGGACTCTGTTTTTTGGGTGGTGAGTCACTTGCAGTCTGGAGAATGAAGAGACAGTGGGGAATTTAGTCTGTGTTGCTGTCTTCTCTTCCTTTTTCTTTCAAATCCCCCTCATAAATCAAACACTCAAGCTAAGAGACTAGAATGCATTATTCTGTTTTTATGCTTTTATGTTGTAAAGTCCCAGGAATATTTTTTGTTGAATCTAGTGGTGCTGGTAGTGCTGGTGATGCTGGAGGAGGAGGAGGAGGAAAAGAAATAATTTGTCTGCAGGATGATTTAATTATGAACTCTTAATGTAAAGGATAGTTATAAGCAATATATCTGGAGATGGACATTTGAAACCTGCATCATTGTGTCATATTATGTTTCCATTGCTATGTCTCCCTTGCTCCTTGCTGTCTCATTCACACCAGCATAACTTTCTACTTTTATTTTTCATTTGTATTGCTAAATTACGCCTGTTAGACTAAAGAAGTGATCGCATGAGCTTCAGGCAACAGGGGTTCTAGGATAGTACACCACAAACTGTTTGCCTCATTCCAGGGTTTCCCATGAGAAGATCCATTTTCTCTTTGCAAAATTATCTAGACTACGAAAGCCTATTCTACTGTAATTTTCGTGAATAAAAGTTTCAATTTACTGTTTTAAATAATGTGTGTGAAAGAAAACTCTGTATTCAGTGATTCTCATAACAGTAGAGTGTTTTTTTGGTGTTCTTTAATTATTATGTCTAACTGCTATTTATCATTTCTCAGTGTTATTTAACTTACTTTTTTCCAATGAAAAGAAAACGAAGGCCCTTTGTTCTTCCCTTTATTTGTTTTTCAGCTTTTGTCCTGAAGATGAGAAAACTTCTTTTTATATGCACATTATCTTATTGTCCAGTCACTTATCATATTTGTGAAATATGACATGACTCCTAAAAATGAGGCCCATATTTAAATTTATTAGATTTTTATACTGTAGTTTCTCTTCAGACCATATAAATCTTTTGTGTTTTCCTAAAGTTTTTTTAAAAACAAAGATAAAAAACCAACATCCCTGCCCTACCCTTTCTAAAATTTTTCCCTCTTCAACTCTCTACGTTAACGATACCTGCTTATCCATAACTAATGCTGAATTACTGAAGGATGGAGTGGGAAATGGAACTGGTCTGAGGGCAGATCCAACCCTCCACATATCCTGAAGGGCATGAAGGGTTGGACTTAATGTAGTGGTATCTGAAGTGTCTTCTCTTAAGTCCCACCACCTTGCTTCATCTGTTTCCTCTGGCTCAGAGAATCTAGTATCTGTAGCTGTTCATCCCAAATGA